CCCGTCGCATACGTCGCCAAAGACTTTCCGCCAAACGGTGGCGCATACACACGAGGGGTATGTGCCACAGGTGTTTAACACTTAAGATCTTCGCAGGAATGAAGAGAACACATGCAGGTAATTTTAATGCACGAGAGTTAAGAAATACTGAGATCTGTAGGGTCAAGCCGACCAATGCGAAGAATGATTGTCAAGGTACCAGCATGAGTAGAACCACGTCAATCTGCGTGGCGACCACTTATTCTACCACATTGTCACGCTAGGTCTCGCAACTACTTTTCAAATAGATTCTATAAACTTCATGACCATCAATTGTGGTGGCAGTACTGGCTTTCTAATATTTTGAACATATACATGTCTCCTATGATACAGCCGTCACGTCGGATTAACATCAATAGTATAGTTAGGGGCAATCCGATAAAGTTGAATTATGTATCAGTGTATAAGGCTACCATCCTAGCGTATACTAGCGGTTCATATGAGGTTATCAGTTCTGGTGTTTTTTATACTCATTTTCCTGCTGGTGCCAACCTGCAACTGCCAGCAACTTGTCATGTGCCAACATTGCGACTGCTGAACATACTTATGTACCCATTTAGCGCCAATACATCACGTATCGCTCAATAAATTTTAAAACACGTCACCTTCCCTTCATATGCTTCACATAACGTCGATTCCCACCATAAGTAGGAATGTACATGGGAAATATTTTTTTCCGCTGTCCTGGTATCTTAGGCAACACTCGAAAGCATCAACCTGCGTACAGGTGTGCTACCGAGTCTGTAATACGATGGAAAATGGCACGTTGACCAAAACAAGCTTAATCACCTTTTTCTCTGTCTTGCAGAGAAGGCATTATTAACTCTGTTTTTCTGTGCCGCCTCACAGTGACATCTGATAAATGGTCCAAGTTGCACATGAAACGTCAGGATTTTCTTATTGCAAGGCAAAATTAGTTTTCACTTTTGATTCCGTTGGCTTGGGCCACTTTTTCATGGTTACCTGCTTCTCATTCAGGCAGAAGCCTGCGGCAGAGACTGCGGCCGCTTGTCTCTGCCGTCAGTGCTGGGTATTGGTGAAGTACTGCTAGTGCCTTTATGAACCACCGACCCATAAACAATAGCGTTAGCTTTCCTAACTATCTTAAGTACCCGAAGTAGAAGTAAGAAGGGGATAGTCAAACTCAGAATGGAAAGGCGCCTCACGCCTTCGTACACCATGCATGTGCTGCAAACACTTTTCTGGCACTTATTTCTGTTATGCCTTTCCTATGGGCCACTCTTCTATAAGCTTGCAACTCTGTTTCAGCGCCTTGCCAATACTTTAGTCATTCAATTAGTGGAGGCTACAAGCGTGGAAGACTTACACCAGGAGTAGCGACGTTTCAAAAGCAACCACGAAGGCCCCCGTACCACGAAGGTTCCCAAAATATACCGCGAAGACCTCCGACGACACAGCCTCCGTATTGTCCCGAGTAAGCGCACCTCGTGAACACAGATTAGCGTTGCATGAGATAAGAGTCTATGGCTTTATTCGGTCGGTGTGCGTGCACACAGACGCAGTTTGCTGATCAGACAACGCGCACGAAGCGCACTATCTGTCTCACAAAATGTAATCAACTGAAACCTGCGTCACTGGTATCGGTAGTGCATTGGGTTCACTAAATGTGGTCTACCTAAGGTAGTGCAGACACGGTGCAGCAAGCAGTCGTCCCTAAGCTTCCTTATTTATTAAACGCGCGGGAAACTTAAGAACTCATCCAGCTGGCATTTGCTACGTTAATCTGGTGGGCCACTGGGTAACGGTACTATATTCCAGCGATAAATATTCCGCTATATTCTGATACCCAATGATAGCCGTGCTGCAGTAATATTAATGAACTACTTCGTAATGTCACTCTCACTGAACCGACCCCAACTGCAGTCATTTGCATCGGCCAGGGCGCGCAATAAGGCGGAACGTGCCCTCTCTCCCAACCACACCAGCGCCTGCCCCTCAAGACCCTCCCACACTGTGATGGAGCACGAGCTGGTGCCCGGCTGACGCGCTTATCAGCTGTCCGAGTACTATTATCTGAACTTGGTAATGTTATGCTTCTTTCATTTTCATTAGATGCCATGCACGAGTGATTGACTGCTAAAGCAGCAATTTCAGGAGCTGTTCTGTAGTAAATATATCATGTGTTGTTTGCGAAAGCGAGCATGGCAGAAATCAGCAATTTTCACAAGGACAGAGCAGGCGTGCCCTTCTCTTGAAGATTGTTCTAAAATGTCACGTCTTTTTTACGGGTGGCCGAAGCACGCTCAGGCACAGAGAAAAAATGTAATTGTTTGTAACACTCTTTACCGAGAGAAGCTGAATGAGAATTATTCGTTTAGAACTCGATTGCCATGGAACCTTGTCTGGCAGCTTCACAAGTCCACTTGTTTTAAGACCCAGATCCGCAACGGTGATGCAATCTTCATTGATGGCCTGGACTGCGATTTCAACAACGTAGCCTCTGTTGTACACAACCGTGCCATCGATGAGACACCGCAATATTTGGCAAGCTGTTGCTGCATACGTATAAATGCTGGATAGAGACGTGTTTATCGAGGTGTCGAAAGACACACCCGAACTAATTAGTATCGCACGGAGGACACTGCAGACTTCGAGCGGGAACACTCACACAAGTTAAACTTTCGTACCAGCAATGCAGTCAGCGGCATGAGCATGCTCGTTGGCCTTCCTGGCCGTGTCTATTGGGTCAGAACTAAGACAAGTTTATCATTGCACTTAGAAACATTCGTTGCAGGTGTCAGTTTACCATCGCCAGGCTGTTTGTTCGACAAAGTTCTAATCAGAAGCAAACTATCTACTCAAAGAAACAGTGGCTACGGCGGTGCGGTGAGAGCGCAGTCTCCGAGCTAACATCAACCGCGAGACCAAAATCCAAAGGCGAATAGACCACTGTGGCATTTCGTGTGCTCCTGATAGCCACGCTGTTCCATTATAGTTGTGCACCCCTTTGCTGAAATATACTAAGAATAATAATGCTGTGATATGCTAGGAGCTCCTTCGCACCCACGGTTGTTCTATTTGTCTGAATTTCCGTTTCCATTCATTTTAAGTCAGTGCAAAGAAGCCTACATGTCCTGGTCAAGTTGCCTGTCTTTCTTTTTTTAGTATTCGCGCTGTCTCTCTCTCTCGCTCTTTTTATGTAGCAAATACCTGTCCAGACTTTCGCGGACCATTGTTGGCCATTCCAAGCTTCATGAGCTGCTAAGCTGAAAACAATTCACCATTTTGTCATTTGCTGGCTTGGGTTGGACAGCTATCCCAAATTTATTGATGTCATTGCAAGTATGGCAGGGGCCTAACATCTTGAGCGAACTAATTGCTATACATCTGGAGGGCTGGAAGCCTTAACCTGCGCCTACGTAGTTCCGCTGACAGGCGAATGCATTGGTCAGTCACCACGAGGTCAACAATCACCTTGTTGCATTAGATTTTTTCGGCTTCATTGACTTTGGGGTAAGTTTCCACATCATCATCATCATCATCATCATCATCATCATCATCATCATCATCACCACCACCATCATCATCATCATCACTATAATTATCATTATCATTATCATCATCATATTCATCATCACCTGACTACGTCCACTGCAGGACAAAGGCCTCTCCCATGTTCCGTCAGGTAACTCGGCCCTGTGCTTGCTGCTGCCAATTTATACCCGCAAACTTCTTAATCTCATCTCCCCACCTAACCTTATGTCTCCCCCTAACCCGCTTGCCTTCTCTGGGAATCCAGTCAGTTACCCTTAATGACTAGCGGTTATCTTGTCTACGAGCTTCATGCCCGGCCCATGTTCATTTCCTCTTCTTGATTTCGACCATGATATCCCTAACCCCCGTTTGTTGACTAATCCACTCTGCTCTCTTCTTGTCTCTTAAGGTTACACCTACCAATTTCCTTTCTATTGCTCGCGGCATCGTCCTCAATTTAGGCTGAACCCTCTTTGTAAGTCTCCAGGTTTCTGCGCCGTGGCTATGTACCGGCAAGATACAGCTGTTATATAGCTTCCTCTTGAGGAATAGTGGCAATCTACCTGTAATAATTGGAGAGTGCTTGCCAAATGTGCTCCACCTCATTCTTATTCTTCTAGTTACTTCAATGTCCTGGTTCGGCTCCGCGGTTATTACCTGCCCTAAGTAGACATGCTCTTTTACAACTTGAAGTGTACTATTACCTATCTCGAAGCGCTGCTCTCTTCCGAGGTTGTTGTACATTAGTTTAGTTTTCTGCAGATTAATTTTCAGACCTACCTTTCTGGTCTCCTTGTTGATGCTGCTTTCACAAAAAGTGGTGACGTCACACACACTGGCACGAATGTTTAAAAGTATTCTGGCACTGATGTTAATACGTCAATAATCATGGCATGTCTTAGGCTCTTTAAATCAAATAAGCTGCATTGCTTTGAAAAGGGCGGTAAGTATGGAGGCTTATTTGAAACTTTGCTGTAAGCATTATGCCCAATCGCCTAACTAGAAAACTTAGCAGTGACTTATGTCGACTATCTCAGGGTATATGTAACGTGAGCTTTGGACAGACGCACTAGTGATCGAGTTCACGCGAATAAAATTGTGGTTCACTAGGAGTGCGTGAATAAGATATCTTCCAGTTCTTATCTGGCGCGCCAGCTATACGACGTGTAATGTCACTGCTCCTCGGGCATGCGCAGAGCGGCTCTCTATAAGCCACGCGAAACTGCTCAATCTTGGTGAGTGTAGCTTACTGTACAAAACGTCTGCCATTTCGCAGAAGCAGTGGCGTAGCCAGAGGTTGGCACGTCGAATGGATGCCCGACCCCCATTTTTTCTCGCAATGGCATAACGAGCAAATAATGACCATGCAAAAAATATCTCTTCACCCTGCCCCCGCGAACTAAAGGAGGTAACTCCCTGAAATAATTTCTGTCCATGTCCCTGCACAAGAGTAAATACTTCATGAATCAACGCTTCATGATATTTTATTGAGATACTGCTGACAAAAAGACTTACTCATATTATTGACTATTGGTTCGTGACCTTGCGCATTACACTGAAATAACTTTGCCAATTCTTTCGTCACACTCGGACATAAAGTATTGTTTTGGGGTATGGGGTTTGCAGCACTTCCAGAAATTTGCGGTGCAAAATCTGAGGCCGTCGGTGTTTTTGTCAAAGAACTGATCGCTCACCCACACTTCACATACTTGCTTGTAACCTGTGAAAACAGAGCTATTGATTAGCTTTCCTAACAAAAATACGTTTTTTGACACTGTTCAGTGCACTGAGAGGCACTAGTACCGTTGCATCGTCTTTGTCTAAAAACGTCTATCAATATTTAGCGAATATTTTTAATATTATCGTATTCTGTGAGCAACAATCAGATTGTAATGGGAGTAAAACTGAAGCACGAATTCGCCGTGTGTTTTTTTTTCATATTTATGTTGGCTGAGAGCCACGGTTTTTGATTTACATACCTTGACCCAGAGAACATTTATATCGCAGAACGATAATACATTATAGTAATTTTCTCTTTTCATAATCAAAGTAAACCTACTGTAGTATTCAGTCCTTCTATTTATGCTTCATGCAGGTATACGCACCGTGTCACCTCAACTGTGGTGCTGTGCAAGGTACGCTATGATAGGTGTTTGGGTGTCTTGTGTTTGTGTGGCCTTTTCTTGCATTTTGTCACTGACTTTTTTTTCTCAATGATCATTATTCAGTCACAATTTAATGCAATTAAAGTTAGAAAAACATTTAGCAAGGCCGATTCTGCCCATGACAAGCGTAATTTTGCAGTTTTTCTTGGGGCTGAGCATTATACCGCCCAAAGTTGGCTCCTTAGAAATGTAAAAGGGAGGCTCCATTTAATAAAGCACACACTGTGCTACTCTTGTATACCTCTCCACGCCACCCATAATTATGAACCACCGTATATCCGATAATTTCACTTATATAATGTTAGCATACACTCAAGCAGTATCTGTGTCGTAACCTCTATGCGGTTTATAATCACACATCTCATGCTCTAACGTGTCCATAACTACTGTTTTATGACTTCTAAATTCTTATCATTTTCCAGAACATGTGAAACACGTTGCATAGCATCGTGGTTCAATGCGATGTATTGATCAGCATAGTTAATCTTTGCCTGATTGCGTCTGTACAGACACTCTAAGATCCCACAGCAAATATTTGTGCCAGTGGTTCTAGAAAGAAGTCAGCCTGCGTTGCCGGCGTCTCTAAAGGTGCGGTGTGGTTGTGTGATTCCCTGACGACGCAGGAACTTAATGATAAGGAAGGTTAGTGAGCCCTCCAAATGTTAACTGCGTTGTCAAGCATCAGGAAAAGAAATGGTAATGGTGTACAATGAACCTTCAGTTCAAGGTATGTGTAACTTCTAATTAGTTGCAGTAAGTTCAAGATTGATTTCTCTGCCGTTATGCGCAGGCGGTTTTTGACTGTTCGTGCACCACTTTGGCAGTAGCCTCCCCATCATGACACAGGATGCGTAAAAAACTTGCAACATAATGTTGTTCACACTGGTAGAATCTGATATGTGGATGCGATTTCCCGATTAGTTGCTGTACACGTCAGACTTTTGTCGGATTATAAGATATTTCACGCTGCGCCATGAAACGACGATTTGCAATCGGAAGTGACTGACAGTCAAATCAATGCAAACTCTTTATTGCGCTATCTTAACAAGCGCAGTTTTAAAAAAAACGATGTACGCTTTCACGAAAAAAGATTCGCTCACAAACAAGAGTACAGCAAAGCAACGCCACATGAAAAAGCACCCCCATTTCAGTCTGACGGCTGAAATTTCAACGCTGCCACTCTTGAAATAAACGTTGTTACTGCTGAAGTATGAGACATTCGAGGTCACGCCGTGCACACAACATTTACAGCTCGCTTTTCTAGCAGGCTGATGTCTCTAACCAAAGAAAACCTTTTAATCAGCATGGTGAGTGTAATACTAACATACTCATAAAGTTTGTGTAGAACACCACTTCACACAATGAGGTGTGCACTGCAGTGCTGTTCAGGGCGTAGGGAGGCAGAGAATTTGGCAATGTTCAAAGTCGTTGTGCTGTACAGGCAACATTTAACGAAAAGGAATCCTTCGATGTCCGTCAAAAAGTAAAGGCCCAGTACGCTTTTTACTCATTTGTACTACCAAGATAGAGTGCGACGATGTCATTAACAAGTATGCTTTCACTTCGTAATATTAAGTCATGCTTCTTCGACCACTGGTGTATATTTAGCGCATGAGGATAGGCCTTCTTTTGACAACTGTCGATATATCTATGTAGTGGTTTATTAAAACAAGCTATTGCGCGTGTCCACGAACACCACTGCCACGATGTATACATATCTCAAGAAGTCTTTCCCACGTTTTAATGCCAAATGAGCCTCTTCGTGTGCTCGTATTAACAATTATACTTTCACGCGGGGTTCCTTCACATATCGCGTTCTAATTTTGAGCTAGTATACGGTACTTACCTTCTCTTTTTGTATTCTTTGTCTTGTTTACAATAGCGCAATCCTTGTATACGTGGTGAAGGGTATACGTTGTATTTTCACCAGTTCCTGCAATTCAAGCGTTTCATAAATACTAAACTTTTTTACAAAACCTTTCAACACTAGCCCACGATGTAAGATCTCTTTTTTTTTAGCAATGTAACATCGCGCAGACGTATCTGGTGAACAAGCAATGTAGCAATATCTGAATTGGTGAAAGGTGATTTTATTATTATGTGTAGGGGCTCTATAGATCTTTGTGGTATTTTTGTTCATCCAAACATTATGCTACCATACGCCAGCCTAATAACAACGTCTCTCATCATTGTTCGCAGGAACCGTGGTATAAAAACATCGCAATAGCAAAGGATGTCTTGACAAACTGATTTGTCATAGTTATAGTGGTTACATTGTAGACGTTGAAAACGTTTGAATTATTAAAGCACCGATTTTGAAAAAACAACCATAGAATCCCTTAACTTTTAAAATATTCATTCTCAAATTCAAGAAAATGGTTACTATTGACTGACTAAATATACCGCAGTTATTTGAAGTGAAGTAAACCATTTTACGGCAGCGGGGTCAGCCGCTATGGCATCATAAAACTACGGGCCGAATACAGCTGTGACGTCGCATTAAGGCAGTACTTTGTTATCACTAGTTCAATCTTTTTGCATGTAAAAAAAGGTTCCCAATTAAACATCATCGCTGATCCTTCATAATTGCTTTGGATTCAGGGCATTGCTGGTGGAGTAACATTAGGATAGGCGTAGCTTAGCCCGTGGAAGAGCTTCACCAACTAAATTTTTGTCTGTCTTACTTTTCTTCCATCCATTTTTTGTTCGGAATAGCCTATAATATACGTTTTTGGCTGGTTTCTTTTCCCGCCACCGTTACGTTACGTACACACACACACATTCACGCACACACACATACACATGCGCACGCTATATATTTATATATATATATATATATATATATATATATATATATATATATATATATATATATATATATATATATATATATATATATATGTATATATATCTGAGCCATATTAAAAATAATTTAACCACAATATTTACGGAATCGCAACACTAGTTATAAAAACTTCCTCCTCCTAGCTTCCCACACATCGCGTTAAACGAGTCGGCCTACGTACTGTGTTCAGCGACATTATTGTCGAATACTTTCCAAACAAAATATATATACACATTATGCTGAGCTAGGACGTACTTCGACGTCCTCTTTATCACCCGTAAATTGGTGCAAAGGACGCGCTTTGAAAGTCGATGCCCCACTCATTAACCGTCACGGCCGTGTGTGATGTCTAAAGTGACACAGGTCTTTGGCGCGCGTGCAGTCAGAGCGATATAAAGACAAATACCGCATTACAAAATGAAATATATTAAAATGAACAATTTTTAGTCAGCAACCTGCAAATTATTTCTTTTTTTCTTTCATCTGAAGTCCACTTTTAAGTATATTGACCACTGTTTTTATAGCTAAAGTCTACTTTTCAGTATATTGACCACTGTTTTTATAGCTAATTCCCCGAAGTGTGTAAAAGCTACATAAGAAAGATCAAGCGAGCAAGCAAACATGCAAGCAAGCTGGCCCAGCAATGGGTGTTGTCTCCATGTCTGTTTTTTTTTACCCTAAAATGAAGCACACTTCAATAAAAAGAACACTCTCTATCAAATTTTACGATCAGTGAAATGACTGAATTTACTTCGAGCAAAAAACAAAAACAAATGAAAGACATTTTAATGTGTACTGTATACCCATTTGCCATCGACTGGATAACTTGATATACAGTTGACTGCACGTACTTCTGTTCGGAGTTACTGCATGACAACACCATATCGTCGATATTCAGGAGCACTTCTGTATGGTGTCCCTCGTAATAATATTGTTGTTTTGCGACTTTAGATTGCCGCTAGTATAACCAAGCGCTTGCATTTTGCAGTGAATAATTAGGTAGTTGTTATGATAGTGGAATAAAAGTGAAACGGACACAAAATTATGAAAAACGTAAGCAGATGCGACGGCACAATGACTTGTCGCACTGAATTGTTTGGCATTAAAAAGGCATTCCATTTACGCTTTTTCTCAGACATCGCATCGGAGGCACGTATTTCATAGCAACATGAAACTAGTGTGTTGGTGAGCTTTTCTAATTACCTGCAGAATACGCAGAAATCATGCTGTTTTTATATACTGCCACATATCATAAAAGCTATAACAGTGAATACAATCTCAATCCCTAGCTGCACAGTATGCCCGAAACTGAGAAGCTGTTTTACTGTATGTTTAGAATCGGAAATGTAACAAATTGTGATTGCTTACTCTTATTAAAAGACGTGAATCCTCTAATTTTCTTGGTATTTTTCCATATTGGTGTGTAATCCACATACTCATAATCATAGCTCCTGGAAAAGAAGAAAGAAGAAAAAACTATGGACCATCTTCCTGAATAGAATTCTCATGGCACGCGAAAAAGCAGTGGGGTGCAAGGCGTCCACCCCATTCAAACGGGCGTCAATGCGGGTGCTGGAAGAATGGTTTGAAGCGAAGCTTAGTGCAGCGTTTACTCGAGTGAACGTTTGTTTAAAACGCAGAGACGCAGTGGCGGATTGGGTTTCGTGTAAGATTTATCGCAGATAAACAAGTGGAAAGAGTGTTCCACTCGACGTGCGGTCTAACGTTGCGGGTGGTGGAGAAAGTGAAGAAAAAGAGAAATGTGTTGCGAGCGGGCTGAGGAGCCGGCAGCTGCGGTCGCTGCAACGAGCATGCTGCGGGTGAGTAAAAGAGTGGCGTGAGCGTGCTGCTGTGAAGTAAGCATTTGAGAGGAGCGTTACGTCCATGCGTAGCGGCGACGTGACTTGCATAGCTTCGCTCCAACTACTACGTCGAGGTGAACGCGTTGTGGCGTGTTCGTACGGACGAACATAAGTACAGCGTTACACGCGTGAGTCAAAGCGCTGCTTCGCATCCCGTAATGCATAAGTAATGCGCTTAACAGCCTGATACCCTGTTTTTTTTTTTCAGCAGATAAGACTCTCACCCCTCATCTTACTATTATATAATAACGACCTATCATCCATGTATCGTCTAATAATAGTTCATTTGCTTACAACTGTGTCATCTACCAGACAATTACTAGCATTGCTGATCAAGCTGGCCTACATCGGGACCTTAATCTTGTGCAAGAGTAGTGTAGTATTTGGCCAGGGAAGCTTATTCCCACTAAATACAAACTTGTTTCATTTTCTCGCCAGCATCACCTTTTATGATCCTCATACTTAATCTCTAATTTCACTGTTGAACATGTTGAATCAAATAAATTCCTGCGCGTTCCCTTATCATATAACCTTTCCTGGAACGCACATATCAACAACAATATATCACCCGCGAACAGGTGCTTCGATTATCTAATATGTCATTTGTGTTACGCACACCTAGACATAGTACTTCTCGCGTGCAAATCCCTCATCCGATCAAAACTAGAGTATGCAACGCCTATTTAGAGCGCACACCAGGCATACTTAATTAACCAGCCAGATTCTGTACAAAATTATACCACCAGGCTCATTCATTTTCAGACTGACATGATAGAAGTATATTACTCCTAAAGCGTGAAATTAATGTTACTGATCTTGGTGTGCGTCACCTCGTTGCCAGTCTTTGTTTGTTTCACAAATTATTTAAATTTCTTTCAATCAAAATCCTCCCATAATCCCATCATCGCGCATTTCTCACCGCACTACCCTTACCTCACCATTCACACGCACACGTGCTCCCACTACTGTTTTTGCCGCATCAGTATACTTTCGCGCAGCAGCATAATGGAATGGCCTCCCCTGTGACATTGAATCCATCACGCGTACATCACCTTTTGCGGACAACATAACTGCATATTGTTCGTTGTGAAGATCACTCTCTACAACCCACATTTGCTAACCCACCCGCTATGTAATACCGCCTAACCGGGGTCTTTAAGTTAATAAAGAGAAGTGAAGAGATTGCTGACCTACTCGCATGCCCCTTTTCAGACAATGCCAGAGAGAGATAAAGATGCAAGGAAAGGCAGGGAGGTTAACCAGACGCACATCCGGTTCGCTACCCTGCACTGGGGAAGAGATGAAGGCGAGCAAAGAGGTTGTAGAGAGATAAGAAGGTACACAAAATTACGAGCAAACTCGGGGGCGCACACACAGTCTACAGGTGGTCGCTCAGGTTTGTTGACTTTAAGTAAAGTAGGAGTGCTTTAGTCGCTTTCTGCGCAACTGGGACTGATGCCCAATGTCCTAGATCTTCTGCACACAATATGGTCAGGAGTCAAGTTGATTCAAAACCTGCCGGAGCTGGCATCGCTGTGTGTCGTAGCAAGCGCAGCTGCACAGGACGTGTTCAATGGTCTCATCAGCTCCGCAGTAGTCGCATGTAGAGTCTGCCTTACCAATGCGAAAGGCATGCTATTGGTACGTAACTGTTCGTTCATACGGCAGTGCCAGACTTAACCTCGCCAAAAACATATATTTTACTCCAGGATTTATTTCACAAGGATATGAGGCGATTTAATCCCATGAGTACAGGTCGAAACGCTCACAAGAAACAGGGCAGGAGTCAATTTTACCAGGATAGTTCAACGTATGTGCTGTATATCACACGCATTTTGATTCACGCACAGTGTTTCAGTCAGATGCGGTAGTGATCACACGTTGGTAGAAAGCGCCTATCTGTAGATGCATGTAAGCAGGTAGATAATCTTTACTTTGGCCTACTGTTCACGGTAGTCACTACCGCCTGGCCATCCGTTAATCTACACATGTATCAACTGGCGACGAAGATGGGATTTTTCAAGTTTCAGCTTGAGGCCAGATTCCAGAAGCTTGCTAAGCACAGCACGAAGGTTGCGAAAGTGCTCAGCATCATTTGTGCCACTCACAAGAATGCCGTCAAAATAGACTGCTACATGGGGCAGTCCCCTAAACAAGTTCTCCATCTCGCGCTGAAATATGGCAGGAGCAGATGAGACGCTAAAAGGCAACCGTGTGTACTGAAATAACCCCATATGCATTGAAATGGTGACGTACTCCCTAGAGGCCTCGTCAAGGACAACTTGCTGGTACGCATCTCGCAAATCCAATTTTGTGAATTTCTCACCTCTAGCAAGCACAGGTCACAGGTCCTCGATCCTTGGAATGGGGTACTGCTTCACTGTTACTACTGGGTTTATGATGACAATAGTACAATTTCATTTGCATTGCGGCGCAGAAAATCGGCAGGTATCTCATATAGAAATATGAGGGGCTGTTTATCGCATACCACAATGACCAACAATTACTAATTTATGAACCAATAGCACCTGGTAAAAAACAGTTCCCTCGTACGACAGTATAACACGCATTTGATCTTCCAGTTGGCTGGAGAATAACAGTGTTTGGTTGGTACAACAAACACAGCACGCTTTGAACCGATATTTTTCATAAGCAGCAGAGCTGACACGTGCGCAAATCCAGTGGATGTAAATTCTTTTAAAATGATGGGTGTGTGCTTGATCGCCCTTCCGGCGATGCTGTCGTTCACAAGAAAGCGTGCGCTAGTGACCCAGTAAGTGATTCTTAAAAGAAAGAAACGAAAATAAAAGTGAGCCCCATAACTGTCTGTTTCATAGTGCGACACCTCAACAGTGGCTAACGTGGAATGAGGGTTAGGAGAGATTAAAAGGAATAGAAATAGAAAAAGGATAGCGATAGAAATGAGGCCAGCGACAGTGATATACAGATGTAAAAAAGAGATAGGAAAGATGCGGACACGGTCGAAAAAGTGCGAGAGCGGGGCACCACTCAGCGGGAGCTCTTGTCGCGATGGCGGAGGGCGGAGGGCGAGCCAGTCCACCAGATCTGCGCTGTCGTTGGAGATCGCGGGTGTACAACCGGCTGGCATGGAATCCAGGGACCGAGTCCAAAACACACAGCTCGCGTGGCGTGCATGAAGTGAAAGAAAACCTTCAATGATGATGCGGTGGCGCGCTCTATTCTGTCGTTTTCCTATCTCAATTTCTCTTCCTGGGGCTTTGACAACATTTCTTCTTATCTTGCAAACATTTCCCATGCCTTGCGCGATAGGGAACGTGCACCGATCATTTATGAGCTAGGGCCATGCTCACATGCACTTTAGTTGACACACCAAATTGTTAGTTGAATATGGCACATACAACAGCCATACACGACTCATGTGTTAGCCAAAAGTTGGTACTTTTGTGAGTGAGTAAGTTACAATTGATTAATTGATTGGCTCCTCAACATCTTGGCGCAACCCACCTAGGGGGACAGGCCATGAATGGGACGGTGTCTTGCTTTTAAATATTTCACTTCTTGAAAAAAAGCGTTGGAATAATTAGGTAATATAGGTAATAATGTAAAAGTTTTGGATTTCTAAGCAAACAAAAACATTAAAAAGAAAAAAATAATAAACAAACACAAAAAAATTTTATAGATAAAACAACTGAAGTTATTTACCTTTTGAATTCCATTTTTTCAGATTCTTGTAAGAAATTTGTAACAGCAGTAAAACGCTCCTGTCGCTGAATGCAAATGCGACTGCGCCAAATGAAAGAATCACCGAAAGTGTCAAGCTTAAGTCCAACTTTCGTAGGGGTTTTTTTAGTACATTTTTTCTTTGACTTTTGAATTTTCGGCATGACAAAAATAAATGCTCCAAAGATTCCCTTTCATTACAATAAAGGCACAAATGCGACTGTGCCAGACCCAACCTGTGAAGGTAAGAGTTCAATGAAGGAACTCGACAACGCAGCCTGGTAATTACTATTTCTTGCTTTCTTGATGGACACCACTTGTTCTTCCAAGGGAACTTTAGCTGTGGGAAGTCTGATACCAACAAAGGAAATTCATTGATGTTAATGGCCGTTGTGCGTTTTTCAAAGCGTACTGCTGTGATATATTCCGAAGTAGGCAAAATAGGTAAAACAAGACAATCAGGGGAAGATACAGCTTGTGCATCTGCATGCTCATTTAGAGCTAAACCTCTATGGCCTGGTACCCAAACTAGTCGAAAAAGTCGCACATGTTTAGGAATGAGCGAGTAGAAAATTTCTAAGGTACGTGAAAAAGTTGGTGAGCTTAATGCAGTACAGACCGAGAGACAGTCTGTTAGGACAATCACTGCTGATAGATCTTGCAGCACTTCACGCAATTCTAGGACTATTGCCAGTAGCTCAGCTTGGTAAATAGGGGTAAAGTCGGGTAATTGAATTGAGAAAACCCAATCTAGAGATGAAGATATGATTCCTACGCCAGCCTTCTCTTCATAAACAGAAGCGTCAGTCGCTTTCACAATGAATGTTTCTAGATTGGCCAAATGATCTTCCAGAATGCCATTTATACACTGATATGGTAAATGTTTTGCATTCTTGGGATATATATCGTTAAATGCAATCCTAATAGCATCTACAGTGTTGAGTACAGGTATTTGCCAAAGGTTAACTCCTAAGGACTCCAAAAGATTCTGTGAATATATTACTTTAGGGCACCGTAATTTAGACCATTGGTGGTTTAAAAATGAGGTCTGCTGGTTAATGAACACATACTGTGGCCTCCGCTAAGGTGATGGATAGTTTTCTTCGTTCAGCGAACTGGGAGCGCAGAGAAAAACACAAAGGACGAAGCGAGGAACCACACAACATGAGCGCTCGTGTTGTGTGGTTCCTCGCTTCGTCCTTTGTGTTTTTCTCTGCGCTCCCAGTTCGCTGAACGAAGAAAATGAATTACCAACTGGCCCACTTGTTGATCCTTTTGTGATGGATAGTTTTTAAGGAATGTACGTACAGTTAGAATATGAAATATTTTGATAAAAGAACGCAGGCGGGATTCTTCGTATAGGATATTGTTCGCAACATATTTAGGTAGCCCTAGGCATAAGCGTAAGGATTCGCGTTCTAACAGAATCAGTGGTCGAACTTTCTAGGCCGGAGCGCCAGAAGATAAAACACAGCCGAATTCTAATATAAGTCGAATGTACATGCAATATATCATGACGAGCACGTCTCTACGCAAACCTGCACGATGATTACTGAGCCTACGCAGCATCCCTAAGGCACGTGCTCCTTTAGCAGCCATGTTTTCCAAGTGGGGACTCCAGTTAAGTGTTTCGGTATAGGTTACCCCCAAGTATATAACTGAGTCGACCTGAGGAATGGCGTCTTGTCGGTACATTAGTGAAATTTGCACTGGCGTATTTTGTGCGAAAACTATGATTTTACTTTTGTTTGCATTGAGGCATAGGTTGATATCCTGCAGCCACGTTTCTTGGCTATTCATGTATGTCTGTAGAGTCAGATACAGTGTGTGAATGTCTGCCGACGTAGCAAAAAAGGCGATATCATCGGCATACACATAGACCTGTACATCTTGCTGTAAGGAAATGGTACACAATAGTGCATTAAATAATGAAGGTGATAGTACTGACCCTTGCGGTATACCTCTCGTTTGCCTATATTTTGAAGAGTTGACACCAGATTGCGAGCAGCAAAATTTTCTATCACCTAAGAAAGCATGGATCCAGGCCACAAAGTATTGAGGCAGTCCTAAGTTCTGAAGCAAATTTAGCAGTTTCGCATGCTCCATGCTATCATAGACTTTTGTGATATCTAAGGTTAACAAAGCGGAGTATTGTTTCTGATACCGAGAAAGTTAAATTCTGCTTTCGAGATCCACGTACGCACACCAAATGGAGCAACCACGTCTTAATCCCATTGAACATGGGCTCAGTGTCAATTTTTCTGACATCCATCGATATATACGTCTATATAAAATTTTTTCAACGAGCTTTACTAGGTTCGATGCAAGTGCAATGGGCCTGGTATTATCGAAGGTAAACCCAGTGCCTTGCTTTTTAATGTTGGAATCACTTTTGCCATTCTCCAATTGGGTGGAATCCAAGAGCTTCTAACTGAGTGATTAATAATTTCGAGTAGGCTAGGTGGGTATATTTTATGTACTGATTTCATCACCGACTTCTTAATGACATCAGGACCAGGAGCAGAATGGGGTAGTGTTCTGACTACGTTTGGTAGTTCTGCAGGTATGACCTCTTTAAAATCCTCAGCCCTATGTGGGAACTGGGCTTGGTATGGGAGAATTGTCGTAAAGGGACTTTTTAGGCCCTGAGCTATAACTTCTAGAAAGGCCTTCAGTTTGACTGGTGATAATACTACAAATTCTATATTTCTTGGTACCGGAAGAACTTCCTTATTTCTCAGAAAGCGAAAAAGTGCTTTTCTACTGACCGGCTTTGACAAGAGTTCTCATTGGTCGTAGTTAAATTTGTCCTTCGCATTAGCGATGGCTCTCTTAAAGATAGCGGCTGCATACTTATAATCACTGCAGTTTCTGCGACACTGGTTGAAAATTAGTTTTTTTCCATGCAGCTTTTCTTAGTCTATAAGCCCGGGAACAGTCTGCATTCCACCAAGGCCACAAAGTATTTCACCAAGGCCACAAGAGTAGGTAGATGGTTTAGAGCTTTCAATGGTGAAGTTTCATGTATTTAACGACTTATTTAAAATGTCGCTTATTCTGCAGGCGTCTAGTTCGGCATCATTAGTTTGATTAGATAAAGCGCCTTGTAATGATTTCTCGAATTTAAAAAAGTTTACATGCGTAACCGATGATCTATTTTTGGAGGTTATTGGGCATACCACCTCGAACAATATTCGCATTAGGTCACTACTTGTTCCCGACGTAATCGCAGACCATAATAAGATGGACAGATCAGCGTTAGAAAAAGTTAGAGTTACAATTGATCGAGCACAATTGGCGATAGCTTTGTCATCTTTCTCACGCAATGTGTGTGCCGGTGCGCCTACCGTGTACCGATCTTTATAATTTCATGTGTGTTTTTTGTTGTTGTTTTTTTCAGATAAAACTGGTTGGCAGTGAACACTCGTGTCCTCGTCTTTTCTTTTTTAGCGTTGTCCGTTTGCGCTTGAATCTATTCTGGAAGGTGCCGACCCACATGGCAAAGCGTTTAGTATTGTTATCTCAGAAATCTGTTTACGTTATTACGAAATGTGCGTTTATAGATTCACCATTTCAGACGCCAACTTTTAATAAATGACTTTAAATGTGTCAAATTGGTACAACGTTACTTCAAGGTAGTCAATATTCTATTGCAACAAAAATAACGAGATAGTTGTGGAATCTGTGTGTGTCAATATAACTCGTTTTAATTAGGTTGCAATTAAAAACCTTTTTATTCCTAAGTGATTGATACTTGCTTTTGGCATAAATAGAATCTAATGTGAGGCAAGAAATGTAGTGCGAATTCATTTTTCATTATGCCAATTGTGAGCAAGAAAAGTTATTCTTTTCACACTGCTTGCCAGAAGCGGCACATTGCACTACACGTCAAACTTGGTAGTGCCTTCAGAAAAGTGATGATATGTTAGAGTACACTGCAAAATGAGGTTAAAAGAAGACAAATAATCATGCAAGAGCATTCATCTAGTGTACGTTATATCTTGCTCTTTCTTAGCTTCTCCTTGATGCAAATAACGAAAATGAGTGGTGCACACGAGTGTGTACATAGCGCCTTAAAGGGTTACAAAGAGGGGTACCTAATCATTTCGGAGAGATTTTGTGGAACGAACAAAAAGTTGCTATATCTGATTGTAATATTAATATTAGCATTATTATACAGATAATCATTACTCATACTGGTATTACTAGTATTGGCAATGAAGTAATATTGAACAAATGAAAATACTCATTTATGGTTGCCAGTTGTATCTACTGAACTTAAGTGAACCCGGAACGACGTCGCGACCCAGCCATTCACACGTTGTGTTGAAAGATAGACGGTATTTGAACAATAAAGCTAGCATAACACATTGCACCCTATAAATGTGGTGCGGCCCTGCTCGAAAGGAGGGTTCGCAAGAGCCATTAGGCTGACTGGCAAGTGAATTCAGCTCTAGTTCGTGGCGCGCAGGCACAGTGGATTCTATGGCTGTACTTCGTTGTATTATAGACAGCGAACGAGAAATTTGCCGCTAAGCATTAAAGCATAATGAAGTGATTCACATAAAGGAGAGCGCCAATAACGAGGGACAAGAAAAGGAGGAATCAGACAGCGGCACTGACTTACAACAAGATTTAATTGCTGGAACCGCGCAATATATACATGAGCAGTATCTAAAAAAGGAGAAAAGACAAATTGAAGAAAACAGAATTCACCTAACAACCGAGTAATCATTGTGATAACGCACCATGAACATCACGTGTGCCAACGTTCTGAAGAAAATATATTTTGTTTTGATAGAGCTAATCGTAGGCCTGCTGACACATGAACAGCCCAGCCTTTCTATTTCGGCAGCCTCATAAACTTCGCGTATCATCTAGTCCCGATGACGCCTAATGACTGTACAATGCTGAAAGTCGGGGACACAACGTTCAATGCCGAGACTGCGGTTGTGTTTCCGATGACGCCTAATCCCGATGACGCCTAATGACCGTACAATGCTGAAAGTAGGGGACACCACATTCAATGCCGAGACTGCGGTTGTGTTTCCGACTTTGAGCATTGTACTGTTATTAGCCGTCATCGGGACCAGATGATACGCGAAATTTATGAGGCTGCAGAAATAGAAAGGCTGCGCATTGCATGTGTCAGCAGGCCCTCAATTGCTTTATCACTAAAATAAGTAGATGTTCTTCAGAACGTTGGCACACGTGATGTTCATGGCGTGTTATCACGATGATTACTCAGTTGTTTGCTGAATTCTGTTTTCTTTGATTTGTATTTTCTCTTTTCGTTAGATACTGCTCACGTATATCTTGCGCGGTTCCAGCAAATAAATCTTGTTGTAAGTCAGTGCCGCTGTCTGTCTACTTCTTTTCTTGTCCCTCGTTATTTGCACTCTTTTTATGTGAATCGTGCCGTACCAACTCGCCCAAGCAACCACGTTAGATAATGAAATAAATTTCGGGTTGCAAGGGGACACATTTTCATCATTCATAGACACATTATACCTCAGTAGTGCAACGCTTATCACAGTAAACACAGATATGTGTTGAAGGTTTGAGCTCTCTGGAATTGTTTCCACTGAAAACATTTGTAACTGAAGTGTAATGACGTAATTACGAGGCATATAATCAGTTTAACGACACTGTAGTTAAAAATACTTACCACTTCCTAGAAGACTTGAACACCAATACCTGACACAAGGTTCGTGCCGTCGGATTCATGTTTGTTCTTATTGCTTTGATGCATGCTACTCCAGGAATCCCCCATGCAGTGAGGTGCAAATACATCGCGTTTGTAAGCATGAACTACGGAAAATAATACAATGTTACATTACTCCAATATCTTTCGCAATCTCCTAAAGCCGATAAGAAATGGTATGTATATATGTGGTATACTTACTGAAGTTTTCACTGGGAGTATTCACGTTCGTAAGGAGTGGTACAGCCTCTTAAAACACGCATGCATCCATAAATAAGCAGCCAGATATTCACTATACTTCAAGCTAAATGTGTGTTATTTTGTTGTCATACAACTGCCTTAGTGTCTTTTATTGTATATAAAATCGCGTTCATGATAACCTTTTAATGAATGAAGCAATACCTCATAAGTTATTTTCGAAATTTGCGGAGATGAACTCAAAGAGGCATGTATTAGGTCAAAAAAACGCATAATGTATGGGTATATTGCACTCATTCTTTTTTTACTTAATGCAGCGCTTAATATGATGAGCACTACAAAGACAAGTCTTTGGCACAAAGAACCAGAAATATAATTGCAGTGAATTTGCTTTCAAAATATTATAAGGGACGCTGTAGTGGAAGGATAAAAAAAGTTCAACTGGTTGGTGTTCTTTGATCTGGGCGTATGTCTGAGTAACCGAAACTCAACACAAAACAGAATTCCAGTTTTTGAAAGTTGTTCAATGGGACGAATCTGCCAAGCATAATATCAGAAAATCTTGAGTAGATGCGTAGAGAGATTACCTTGCAAAGTATGCTAAGCATTCTTTATCACACAGAAAGGCTACATGTTTTTGACCACCACACGGTTCTGTATAGTATCGAAGACATGTATACTAATTAGTAACCCAGGTACTCTTTCAATATCTTGTATAAGATGAGTGCGTGTATTTCCGGTATATAAAGATTGTATTGAGTAACTTAGGATAATGATTGATATGCGGTGTCAACGTCCCAAAACCATAACATGGTTATGAGAGACGTTGTAGTAACTTAAGAGGTATGTTACAATGATTGCAACAACAACTTGTGAAACATTACACATTGGCTGTCCTTGGGTCCTCAAGCTGACATTGCTTGAGTAAGCCACCTGAATAAAACAAAATGCAGGGACATTCTTTATGATTCGCACAAAAGCCAATCGGCAAGGGCCTCTTAGGAGATCTCTGGGTCCCTGAAGTTAGAGCAGAGTCATGTCGTGGTGCTTGCCTTATCACAAAAATAGAAGCAGACGAACGTGTAGACACAGCTAGCCTTTTATTTCTTTTTCTTTGCCTAGATCTGCCAGTGACATGATGCATGAGGACATAGCTACTGTCCTCAACTAGATATTGGAATTAAGTTCGACATTTCGTGCACTAAGTCTGATGCAAATATAGTGCACGTATAAAAACCTCTTTTTCATGGCGCTTCGTTACGGCATAAGAAGAATGTGAGAATGAAGTGTATATGTCACGTGGCAATCAAACATCAGTCACTTCAATTATCTAGCCGATTAAAGTTGACTTATTGTGAAGCTAACTTATATGCTTTAACGAAGATCCGCGCTCTTATCAAAAGCAGAAGACACTGGGCAGAGGAGCAAAGAAGACCATGTTCGCCTTAGTGAATCCGAACGCTTGCATCAGTCCAAATATTGGTTGTGCAGTGGCGGTGTCTGCCATCTATTAAAGAAGCACTGCACTGAAACGCACTTTCATTACAGGGGAGCGCAGGTACTGTACCGCCCTGCAACTTCACAAAAGTATTTTGGCTCCAGTTCATTTCATAACCACTGACAGCGACCAGCAGCCTAGGAACCCAACAACAACCCTAATAACTGTTAGTTGGTCCGGTACTCTTTGGCGATGCTATCTGCCATCTCTAGTGACATTCACAAAAAGGATGCGTAAGGCTTGTCTGATTAGTACAGCCTGTTAAGCGAGCACAGGAAACGGCATGATGCGCACAAGTTTAATTGTGAAATTTTGTAGTTAAATGACATCGTCAGACACTGGATCTGTAACCACAGCAGTGGCCTACCTATGCTGTAGGTCTACAGAACGGTATTCGTTCGGTAGACCCACAGCTGGTATTCGTTCGGACGTCCAAAGAAGTGCCACACAGCCTTTGCATGATAGAGTTTTACAAAACGGTGAAATGACACGAGAGGTGCTATGCAGGATGACGCGAGCTTCTCGGGGCCGACGATTGATTGATTGATTGGTTCGTGGGGTTTAACGTTCCAAAACCACCATTTTATTATGAGAGACGCCGTAGTGGGGGGCTCCGGAAATTTTGACCACCTGGGGTTATTTAACGTGCACCCAAATCTGAGCACACGGGCCTACAACATTTCAGCTTCCACCGGAAATGCAGCTGCCGCAGCCGGGATTTGAACCCGCGACCTGCGGGTCAGCAGCCGAATACCTTAGCCACTAGACCACCGCGGCGGGGCTCGGTGCAGACGAGTTTTTCTGAAGCTTACCCTACGGTGGCCATGAATGAGAACAGTGCGGAGTGCGTGTAAGCAGCGTTGATAAAATTCTCTACTAGAACGCACGTGGCGTAGGAAATGCATGTTGGACTTTCGCAGCAGTTATAAAAAAAACATGGCGTGTAAACACGTCAGCGAAGCCACTCAGTGAATATTTTAACAGTGCAGCAATGTTAGCGTGATTGTCGGGGCATCTTTTTTCCAACTCAGTACGTGCCTCCAACAGGCGTGTTCATGGGCGTTTGTGCTCTTTCGGGCAGATGTTTTCGTTCCACCCGGTGCATGAAAATTTCCACACTAGAAGGCAGCAAGGGTGCACATGCAGCATTCTCGTGCTGTTCATTTCACTTCTATCAAATATTGCAGGTGAATATTAAGACAGGTGGTCGCCAGGGGCGCTCACATCACGGCGGCAACGTGGCAGTGAGTGGATACGTCCTGATCGCCATGAAATTGAATGCGAGACATTGTAGCCACGGCATAATACCACTTTCAGTTCTACTGTGCATGTGTGCACAGTCTGCGCGATAAAGCTGGTATATTATTGTGCCGCTAGGCTTGAGTACTGCTCCTCAGCAAAAGCAAACGTAGTGGGAGTAGCTGATCTTCCCCGCGGGCGTCTGTCAATAAAACTGATTGACGCGTCAACTCGGAAATAAGCTAGTTGATTCTGAGAAGGCCCCAGTTCAAATCGTGACTTTCATGGTGCCTGTTCAACTGTCAAGAGTTTGATGCGGTGAACGGTAAGAGGCAGCTTTTATGCGTATAAAATAATCTGATCAGCTTGCAATACTTGAGCCAGGCTGGAGCCATACAGTGAGCTTGTAATAACCTAGCTTCTTTTAGCTCTTTAAGTCGGTTGTCCAGTCATCTGATTGGTCGGCTTTGAAGTGATGACAACATCAGCTCTGTCTTATTTTGACGATACTAATTGCCCAGCCCCGGTGGTCTGCTGGCTAAGGTACTCGTCTGCGGACTCGCAGGTCGTGGGATCGACTGGCGGCTGCATCAGTTGCAATTTCAATGGAGGCGAAAACGCTGTAGGCCTGTGTTCTCAGATTTGTGTGCATGTTAAAGAATGCCAGGTGGTCAAAATTTCTGGAGCCCTCCAACACGGCGTCTCTCATAGTCATATGAGAATTTTGTCACGTTAAACCCCACATATCAATCAATATACCAATTGACTAAGGCTTAATGACTATCACACTGAAGTGTCTTCAAATCATTCACAAAGTTTCAAATAAAAGAAAATTATCTCGGACGCAATTAGCAAAGTCATCGTCAGTATGAGGCTAGTTAACAAAATACTCATAAGGTCAATCCTAAACATCATTATATTAGTAAGGGCTAGTTACCATTGTATTAGCGTACTGACGCAATTATCGGCATCGATGATTAACGTCGTGTTAGTAGCATGAATTGGTTATACGGACTTCATGCTGAATTTTATGTTCACGTCTGCTATAACATAGGTCCGTTTGTGTGTAACGCGTCATTTATAGGTGTTTTCGATATGTTACCCTTCCACTCTCTTTCCATAGAGGTGGTATTACACTACTTCTCCAGAAAGACTTCTTGTCCACGCGAACAGAAGATTGGGCCCTAATACCCTGCTTATAGTAGGTTACAAGCTATTAGCGAACATCTCGGTGCACCGATTCGGCCAGTCTCTAACATCATTATTCGCTTCGCGCTCGGTTGGTTCCGTTCCGGGCCCAGACATAGACATTCATACTTGATTAATGCGCAAAATCATTCACTACACTACTGCCTGATTTGCCCAATAGCTGTTGGCTTCCTTAAATCAGGAAAATGCTTTTGATTTCATAGAAATTGACTACTTACTAAATGTTTTGCATGCATTTAGACTTCAGGACAGGTACCATCAGCTCATTCGCGTGATGTGCACGGATTCACAAATTATTCTTTACGTAGGTTCCAGTGAATCGCCCCTTTCAAGTCACGCGTTGGCACGCTACTAGCTTTACTACCAAGCTGTGGCGTCACCCCGTCATGCGAGAGGATATATGGGATGTATCAGCGCTGGAACACGAATAGCTTCTGGATCATTTTTCACAGTGCCAAAAGTGTGCGAAACGGAAGCAGAATGGTATCCTCCTTTTTTAGGTATTTTCTCGTCTCTCTTAGAACCGGAAAGCACGTTCCCGCCACCGAGTGCCGCAGACGCTTTCTGCAGGCACGTCAAGTCAAACAGGGGAGGCGTTGGTGAAGTAAACATGCGTGGGACAAAATTGAAAAAGCAAACGTACGTTTGCGTCCCATTTATAAGGACCTTCGTGTATGGGTTCTAATGGAAGTGCTTGATGGATTTCATGCTGAACAGTCATGTTTCCGCAATTTTTGAGGCCAGGGTAGCTCTTCTGGATCAGCGCACCGTTCACCATCTCCTGACGATGCGTACAGCACACGTCGAGCGGTGCCCCGCCTTCGCACTCTTCGACCGTGTCCCTATCCTTCTTCCCTCATCTCTCGTCTTTTTGCATTCTTGTGCGGCGAATGCTCTGTCTACACATCTCTCTACTTCTGCTTTTTTTCTTATCCTCTTTCCCAACTCTCCACAAGAATTTTA